TCTGGACTGACCTTCCCTCAGATCTTAAGATCTCAATGCTTTTGGGACTACTTGGATTATGAGAAGCAGAAAATACAGCCAGCTTGTAAGACTGAACTTTGGATGTTTCTTTGAAAAACTCAAAGCAAGTTTCTGGAAAAGAAAGGAAGCTGCAATAAAGGTAAAGAGTGGACACACTAAATATTGAATAATGTGGTATTTAGCTATTGAGGTTTCTGAGAAATTATCTGTTAAATACATGTTTTCTGCTTTTGTATAAAATGGCTGTTTTAAATAGAAAATCACATCACTGAAGGCTGGTCTCTGGCTTTTGCATAGAACTGTATTAACCAAATATTTTTCTATTAATCTGTCAATAAATCTAGTGTTCCCTCAGCTTACCACATATATTCTGGCTTGTTTGTTCTGTCCTGTAAAGAAAAAGACATATATACATATATATATATATATATATATATATATATATATATATATATATAATATATATATATATATATATATATATATATATATATATATATATAATACACACACACACACACAGCAGGTGAAATAAGTATTGAACACGCCACCAATTTTCTAAGTAAATATATTTCTAAAGGTGCTATTGACATGAAATTCTTACCAGAGAAAACGACCCATCCAATCCACACATGCAAAGAAATCAAACCATTGATGTCCATAAATTATGTGTAATAATAAGAAATGACACAGGGAAAATGTATTGAACACACTTACTGAAATTTATTTAATACTTTGTACAAAAGCCTTTGTTGGTGATGACAGCTTCAAGACACCTCCTGTATGGAGAAACTAGTCGCATGCATTGCTCAGGTGTGATTTTGGCCCATTCTTCCACACAAACACTTCTCAAATCCTCAAGGTTCCGTGGGCTCCTTCTATGAACTCTGAGCTTTAGTTCCTTTAGTTCAGGTCAGGTGATTGGCTGAGCCATTCTAGCAGCTTTATTTTCTTTCTCTGAAACCAATTGAGAGTTTCCTTGGCTGTGTGTTTGGGATCATTGTCTTGCTGAAATGTCCACCCTCGTTTCATCTTCATCATCCTGGTAAATGGCAGCAGATTTTTATCAAGAATGTCTCGGTTCATTTGTCCATTCATCCTTCCTTCAATTATATGAAGCGTGCCAGTGTCATATGCTGAAAAATAGCCCCACACCATGATGTTCCCACCTCCAAACTTCACTGTTGGTATGGTGTTTTTGGGGTGATATGCAGTGCCTTTTGACCTCCAAACATGGTGTGTGTATTATGGCATCCAAAGAGCTCAATTCTGACCAGACTATATTCTCCCAGTATTGCACAGGCTTGTCTAAATGTTGTTAAGCAAACTTAGAACACACTTCAACATGCTTTTTCTTCAGCAGTGGAGTCTTGCGTGGTGAGTGTGCATACAGGCCATGGCGGTTGAGTGCATTACTTATTGTTTTCTTTGAAACAATTGTACCTGCTGATTCCAGGTCTCTCTGTAGCTCTCCACAAGTGGTCCTTGGCTCTTGGACAACTCTTCTGATAATTCTTTTCACTCCTCTGTCTGAAATCTTGCGGGGGGCACCTGGTCGTGGCCGGTTTATGGTGAAATAATGTTCTATCCACTTCTGGATTATGGCCCCAACAGTGCTCACTGGAACCTTCAGTAGTTTAGAAATTCTTCTGTAACCAATGCCATCAGTATGTTTTGCAACAATAAGGTTGCGAAGGTCTTGAGAGAGCTCAGTGGTTTTACCCATCATGAGATGTTTCTCGTGTGCCACCTTGGTAATGAGAGACCTTTTTATAGGCCACCAGTTGAACTATCTGATATTAATTTGCACTAAGTGGCAGGATTGCGTTCTAATTACTGATAGATTTCAGCTTTCCATGGTTTTTTGCACCTCTCTTTCTTCATGTGTTCAATACTTTTTCCCTGTGTCATTTCTCATTATTACACCAATTTATGGACATCGATGATTTGATTTCTTTGCATGTGTGGATTGGATGGGTCGTTTTCTCTGGTAAGAATTTCATGTCAATAGCACCTTTAGAAATATATATTTACTTAGAAAATTGGTGGCGTGTTCAATACTTATTTCACCTGGTGTGTGTGTGTGTGTGTGTGTGTGTATATGTGTGTGTATATATATATATATATATATATATATATATATATATATATATGCATGCTCACCTGGGTCTTGGTAGATATTAATTTTGAAAATGTGTCACAAAAAGCTACAAACCATGACAGCAAATTACCCCTTAGCCTACTAAAGCCACTGACCCCCTCACTGCAGAGGTCAAGCATCCCAGCTAGCAGCGTGCTATCGGGCCACAAACGGCTGGGACGCAGGATATCTGATGCAATGTCGGACTCGTCATTAGGGCCTAGGATGATCCCTGTACTACACCTGTAGTATGAGGTGCAGCTGAGCTCTGAACAACCAAACTGGGCCACGCGTGGCTTGACATATGTGGCCCACATATAGAAATAAAAGACTCAGGCCAATACTGGTAACTGTCTGGAAACTGATGGAATTATTAAATAAACAGAATCAACTTCTTGTTAAAACAGTGTTGAAGGGAGAAAATGAGTATTTCATTTTTTTAAGATGGCTAGACTGAAAAGATGCCTTTAAAATGAATGAACACTGAATAGACCTTTCTCTCAGCCACTGTGTCATCACATCTGGCTGTAAACAGTAGTGTTATTAAACTTCCACCTGCAGAGTTTAACAGAGTGGCGATGGAAGGTCGCCAGTTTTTAGCTCTTCCTTAAAAATCTTTCAGCCTCAGTGTGGTTAATAGGAGAGCAGTTAGCATGTATGGTAGTTCCTCCAACATGGACGGAAAGGTTAGTTTGACATGGCCACAGCACATACACCAAAACTTAAAATCATCAGAACTTTGTATGACGCCGGAACATATTCCGCAAAAAATCGGCGTCTGAATCATGATGAATTGGCCTGAGACGGGTTTTGCAAAGCAGAGAAGAACCGTAACCCACATAACCCTACACAGATTTGCACTTATTGCGCTTCATTTTAGAGGAGAAAAGTCCAACAGGTTTAACTATTCCTACTCAGCCTCTAGCAACATTAGCAAGTGCCCTGAACACAATCAACACAGAGACACAGCATCATATTTCTACATTAAAGTAATCACTGAGCTACAGTGCTGAGTAGTTTTCTCAAAACCTGTGCAACTATAGACTCAATGATACTTAAGTTTATTTGGAATAATAAAATGGTGTATATAAAGCAAAAAACAATAATTAGGCCTTACAAAGATGGTGGTTTCAATGTTCTAGATTTCAGCACTATCAATTACATTTTTAAGATTAATTGGATGTTTAGGTGCTACCAACTCATTTTGGTTTTATATACTCAAAAGAATAAAAAAAAATGTGGTGGTTGAAATTTTTACTGGCATGTGATTTCAAGTCAAGGTCAAGGTCAAGAGGCTTTTATTGTCATTCCATCTATGTACAAGTACACAGTGGAGTGAAATTACGTTCCTCCAGGAACAACAAGGAGCAACATGGAACAAAAAGTACAAAGTGCGAATGTGCAGACATAAGTGTGCAGAAAAAGTGTAATAAACTCCCTGTAAAGTTTGCCAACCTCCACAAGCAGGCGCTAGAAGCATGGGAAATGGCCTTCAAGCATAACCTTACTCCTCATGCTACTATTTTATGGAATGATGAACATAATTTATATATATTCAAAAAAGACTGATATGAAAAAGGTTTAGCATTTGTAACTCATTTGTTAAATGTAAACTGTGAACTTTATCAATACTGTTCATCAGTATCTTGGGATGGAATTTGACACAGAAGGATTATAATACTCTTAAAGAAAATATCACCTAAATTACTCCATCTCATCAAGGCCCAATGCAAATATCTTTCATTAGCAGGTGAAAACTCAAAGCTCAAAATTGAAGGTTTGGTTAAATGGAAAAGGGATTTGTTTTGCTTACCGATGGATAAAAGATATTTTGTAGTCAATACGGCAAAAGAACCCCATCTCAAGATACTTCATGGAATTCACCCATGTTGTTTCATATTAATGTAACATCACAACGCACTTTCTGTAACACAGAACTGGAAACAATTGTACATTTGTTCGTTTTTTCTTGTGTTTATTTATAAAGCTTTTTGGAATGAGGTGTCTTTGTTAATTTCATATTCATATTGTTCATTTCATATTAATGAGACAAGTATGTTGTTTCTTTTGGTTAATGCAGGTCTTTCTTTCATCGATGATGCCATTAGGCTTATAGCCTATTAGGCTTATAGCCTAATTGAAAACTCTATTTGCCCAAAGCCAGAATTACCTCCAATAAACCTGATTTTAGATTGTTCATCATAGATTTAAGTGCTCTGTGAGTCCCTGATTAATATTCTCTATAACAAAAAGGCCAACAAGACGTTTCTTCTACTTGAAAAGACTGAGAGCCGCTTTGATAATGACAAACTGCCCATCCTGTTAGGAGAGAAGAGAGAAAGTACGATATATATATATATATATATATATATATATATATATATATATATATATATATATATATATATATATATATATATCTTCCTGCCACAGTATGAGGGACAGTGAGTGACTAACCCAAACACAACAGACACATACACACACACACACACACACACACCACACACAAAAATACTACACACACACAGAAGACAATTTATGACCCTGTTTGTAAATAACCTTATGTACTTATGTTTCCCCAAACTACTGTGTTATCTGTTTTTAATACTACTTGATCTATTATTATTATTATTATTATTATTATTATTATTATTATTGTTATTAGCATTAATTATGAAATTATTATTATTATTATTATTATTATTATTATTATTATTCTCTCTTCCGATGAAACTGGGACTTCTTCAATTGTTACGTTTCAAATGTTTAATCCTGCCTTTTGATATCTGGCAATACTGTAAATCTGCCACAAAATGAGGGACAGTGAGTGACCCACCCACTCAAACACAGCACACACACACACACACACACAGCACACAGCACACACTACACACCACAAGACTACACACAGAAGCTAACATATTGCCTATGTTTTTCTTCCAGACTCGTTTTGCCCTTTTTTTGGCTACCCCTGCCCTGTCTTTGTATTGTGAACTCGTGATTTTAAAGGAAAAAAGAAAAAAAGGTGGCAGTACTGCAACATCTGGACGATAACTGCCGTTAAAATCACAGAAGGCGGAAGAAAAGGATGACGAGGAGAAAGAAAGTGAAAGAGAGGCAGTAAAGAGTAACGGAAGAAGTGTTCTTGTGTGAGCGCGGTCCTCCACGGGGAACTCCAGCCTCTGTAAGTACTTCAGTTGAACTGAACCGTTATGTCTGAGTGTGATAAATGTTTTGGTGGCTCCCAAAAGATACTAAACCATGTTAACGTTCGCTGCGTCTCGTCATCTCCGGGGCTGCGACCTTCGAAGACCCCATTTCTCGGCCATATGCTAAGCACCGTCCCATTTCAAAAGAACGCGGAGGATCCGGAAATTACGGCCAGAAATGCGACTTTTTTTGGCCGAATTCTGAGTTTGGACCGATGTAAATTAATCGTCTTAGCCCTGAGTTCCCATGAGCCGCTGCCCCACAGGCTACTGCGATAAAATAAACGCCTTAAATGATCCCTGTGGGATGGGAAGTTCAAACCGCACCCAGAGTAGAGAATAACGGTCTATCGCTTCACAGGAAGCTGCAGGAAAGTTTACCCCCACAGTCATTGCAGGTCTGCTGAAGCTGTTGGACGTTGCGAATGAAAGTATCTTCATCAACTGCAGTTTCTTTAACCGACACCCTGTACTCAAGTGTGTAGAGAACATAACGGTATCGCTTTGGGACCCTGCGGAGCGGAAAGCAGCCGAAGTCACACAGCTGAGTGTGACTGAGAAGTCTCTAAGCTTCAGTTGTAGTTTTGTAGTTACGAGCATTTCTTTAATTTCAGGTTTTTAATCCGCTCAGTTTTTACATTGTTTTTCTAGCTGCCTTCCTCACCTCTCGCTCACTGTTCACACACCTCTCCTCTGCAAACCGCTGCTGCTGAGGAAGATACATTTTCTCTCTTACGCTATAATACTGTGACCAAATAACGTAGCCGACTGAAAATGAACGTTACTCTGCCTCGAGTATTATAATTGTAGGGATTATCTGCACTTTGTTTGGTGTATTTTATAAAACAAAGCAAGTATGCTTGTGTATATTTGAGCCTTCACAGTACGAGCAGCGTTAGCTAACAACTTGTTGGGTAGACTTGGGGGAAACAGGAAGAGGCCAGGTTACTCAAACTGGCTCTGGTTCGACTCCGGTTTGCTGATTGTAACTCCTACAGTGAAGAGAGATTATATGGAGCTAATTATAATAATATGGAACTTCTTTTTTTTATTTCCTATTTCAGCTAAATTTCGTAGCTCAGACGGCTGTTGGGCGCTAGTCTGTAACTGCTGCACCAGTTCCAGTAGGAAGCTAACATCAGCCTCGAGAGATCAAATTAAGCATGGCGATGTGGTGCTGCTAACAGAACAGACTCGGCTCCACTGAGTTTATGAGTGTTTTCGCAGTTTTCATACCTGAATTAGGTGAAGATGGACAGTAGCAGCAAGAACTGCCAAAAATCAAGTTTTTATCCAGGGTTTTTTTATTAACATGCATATAATGTTACAAACAAGAACACTCTTATTAAAGATAAACTACAGATATATGTATTAAAAAGCATCAACTAAACATGAAGAAAAGGATAAAAATAAAGTATAAAAAAAAAAAAAACACAATATTTTCTTTCTTCCAGCAAACTTAAATCCTTCATATACATATGATAATAGTATAATTTTTATGGCTAAGGCATTTAAGAGACTCAATAAATAAATTGCATTCAACAGACACACTGAGGCAAGGCTTCATTTACCAAATTTGTCTTTTGTAAGTAGTATTAACCAAAAGTGATCATCAGGTTCAAAATAAAATATCCAGAAGAGAAGCTACAATTAAGACCAGCAATCACACCTCTTAAGTTTTATATCTACAGTGTATCCAGATTCATCTAAACAATATATTTGGATAAATCTTTCCAAAATTCTTTAGTCACATTAAAAATATATGGTCTCTGGAACCTTTGTGCAAAATTAACAATTCTGCTCTGTATCTATCTATAAATTAGGATTGATTACAGAATTACACATGAACTACACAAGTAAATGTTATGCAGGATCTAAGTGTATTTCTTGCACTTTATTATAAATGCAAAAGAGGAAGGAAGGGACGTCTGACAATTCCAAAATGACGAGCCTCAAGGCAGAATTTTTCTTCCCTAATATGTTTGTCAGAACAGCTCATACTCTGAATGTTCCTACCATTAATTTAAAGCTTAAAGTTTAAATTTAGCAACACTACAAAATGGCAAATGAGATTTCATCAGCATTAATAGACCTTGAGGTATAGCCTTAATTACAGTAATATCATCTATATTTTATATGAAAGGACCACTTGTTTATGAAATCTCTATATGAAAGTAGTCAACCTGGCGCATCCAAAAAACAACTACATAATATAAACAGTTATCTTTCCAGCTTTACAGGAACAAAGATTTCTTCTTAACTGTAATAATACTATTGTTCCATATACAGCATTTATGTGGAGAGATTATGTGCATAACTTCCAGGCCAGTAATGCTTGCTGATAAAATTTAGAAATATAAATGGGAGACTTAGTAATTGAATAATTGCATGATAGTAAAAGACGTGAACCTCCAACTGCTTGGAAGATATTATATGGTATAAAATACCATTTAAAATTCAACTTATCAGTTTAATTCCATATGGTATTTTAAGCCAGTTCTTAAGCCATTGAACTTTAAATGTGTAGTTTAAATAAAAAAAAGTAAAACCTCCTTCAGTTCTTGAACCTGAGAGAATTTCCTTTTTTAGCTGGTGTTGCTTATTCTTCAAAACAAACTGTACAAATGAGTTTACAGGTAGAATCTTGAACATATGCTATAAAGCAGGATAAACAAATCTAGACACCTTCAGCATTGGTCAATGGGCTCCCTCTAAAATTGTCAAATCTCTTTGAAGTCAATTATTAAATATATATATTTTTTTTATTTATTATACCCCTTATGTTTTATTATGGCCCAAAGTTTTTATTACACACTTCTTTAAGAATAGCTCAATTATTTTGCATTGAAGTCCCTGTAGTTTCTGAATATTAAGTCTTAGTGTGAAATAAACCTTGATTGTTAAGGGGTCAACTTAGGAGAAAAGTTGAGATTCTTTCTCACAAACATTCTTGGAAATAGTAATGCCAAGATACTTGACTTTTTTTCTCAGCAGGTACATGAAATTTCATGACATTCGTTGAGATTTCACATTTTGACAAATTTAGTTTTAACCAAGGTGCCTCAGAAAACCTATTAACCAAAGAATTTACTGAAAAAAATGTGATGTTTATCTTTCAGAAAGAGAAAAGTGTCATCTGCAAGTTGGGAACCATATTGAAGGCTTTATATTATTTCATTTAGACCTTTTTTTAGTGATTTGGCATATATAAGACAGAAAATCTTATGGTCTACATTTAATAAGCTTTAATAAATTAAATTTAATCAAATTTAATAAAATCTCACTTCTTACAAGCTGTTCTTCACATGCTTGATTAGACTGGTTTGATATATAGGGGCTACAGACCTAATATTTGACATATTCAAGACACTTATCTTCCTAAAATGCAGATCTATGTAATTGACCATAGGATGAACTTATATGAAAGAAGTTATCATTTATAATTGTTTTTCCACTCTAAGAAAATAACTAGTATAATAACCATCTTCTATTCTTCTTTACCTTTTCTATAAAATGATGACATTCTGCCATAATTAATTTCTTTTTATGTAGACACTACTTCAATTAGGGCTGACTGATCACTCATAAACCAGGGGGGTTTAAATTTGGTAAACGTGACCTTTCTTAAAGGGGTTCGGTCAAATCTGGAGCATCATTAAAGTCCCTCCAATTGTTCTAAAGGTACCTGAATATTTGTTCAATGCACTAGTTACTTTGGAAGCCAACTGCAGAAACATAAACTTGACCTGAACATCTGTATTATTTCCCTAAAGATTACATACAACAACTAAATTAATTTTCTAATCTGAAGACAATAATAATCCACCTGCCTTCCTCTGAAGTGACAGAATCCAACATGTCCCCTTTGAACCAGCAGAATGGTGGGATGCATGGGAAGAGGAAGCTTGGTTACCCCATTTAGATCACCAGAATTATCACATGAGCGAGTCTCTTGAAATAAAATTATGCTTGCATTACAGCATCTAGCAAAAATATATAGGGATTTTCTTTTCCTGCTTTTGCGTACAAACAAATTTCAAACTACTACAATAAAACCTAGACATTGTAAAGAAAAAACCTTTAACTTGGATGTCGCAACAATTATGAACTATGACACTGTTATCTAGGATGTTAAACCATGTGTTGAATTTACTTGCGTGACACAGTCAACCAGTACCTGACGCAAGATCATTGTTTTTGCTTACAGACACTTTTTTCCCTTCAATGAAGGAATCTTCTGCTGCTTTCACCCGTGGCCGCAGCTGTTTTCTCGCCTGCCTCTCTTCTGTAGTAAGATCTTCAGTGAAGCTAATTCTTCTTTGCTTCAACACCACAGCAACCTCTGGAAGCTTTCCACACTTTATCCCTGCAGGAACACATTGAGAACTGAATGATAACATGGTGAGGCTGGGTGCCATCTCAAGGTTGGCCAATTGTGTGAACTGAGTCAACAAAACATTGCAAGGTGGGTGTATTGTCTGGAAGGAGGGATTTCAGAATGTCAAACGCCTTGGCTGTGAGATTTGCTTTTCCTGACCCCTCGAGGCCCACCACCCCCAGATTCCATTGCCTGGTATACCTCTTAGCATGCTCACACCTGCTCTGAAGCTAACTGATGCTCTTTTTTCAAGCTTTTTTTCTCAGTTGCGATCACTCTCCTTCCCAGAGATTTCAACTGTTCACTTGCAAAGTCCACTGTTTTAGAGACAATCTGCGGTTCCAGTGTAGTAAAGCAGTCGTAAAGGGCATTAACTGCCTTGAGAATATCTTCATTTGAAACCACTGAATCTCTCTGGCAGGGTTTCTTGGAAGCTGGGTTTTTAATTTTTTTTTTTGCCATCTTTCCTTTCTTCACTGGCTGAGCTTCTGAAAGAAAACCTTGCTTTCTCTTGATAACCAGTTACCCAGAAAGTAAATTAGCAAGCAGTATTGCTTTAGAAAATGAGCTAATTTTTTTTTTTATGTGTAAAATCAAGAAGTGGTAGTTCAGAAGTACATATAGAATGTTCCTCTTCCAAACTTTAACTCATATGCTGTATGATTTGCTTGTCACAAATGTCATAAAACATTGCGATCGCAAAGCTTGTTAAGGAGGCTGAGGAGGTTTCCGAGCAGCTGGGCAGTGAGAAACGTTTATTTTTCAGTTACTTAGCTAATGTTAGCATTGTTTTTAGTATGTTGACCATCATGATAATTACATGTAAGACAAACTTTCTTCAGTTTTCATTTTATCACTATCTAGCCACCTTGTTAACACAAGTATAGCATAGAAACAGTAAATTATAGGTGTTGCTGCCCTTGTTGTCTATGCTAGCATTTGATTGTTTGTATATGTCTACCCCAACAGAATCTACCCAAGGTACAGTCACCCATCTGACAGCCACCAGTCTGCAGCTTCCAATCGACTAAGGTAACAGCAATATGTGTGTGTGTGTGTGTGTGTGTGTGTGTGTGTGTGTGTGTGTGTGTGTGTGTGTGTGTGTAGGAGGAGAATCCAAATTGTCAAATTATCACAGATTTTGTTCTTTACAGAGTCACACATTTGCTAATTCCACACTCAGTACTCTCAATTTTTTCTGAGGTAGGTTTCCTGCCAAAAATCTCAGTGTTATACTGCAAACCTGATGTAATTAATAAACAAAAATATGTATTTCGGTATAGACTAAAAATCTATAAAGTCAAACATGCAGGAAAGGTTTTTAATGCATTAACCCATAGCTTGCATTGCAGATGTCATAGAGCAATTTTCATGCCAGTGGCAGCTCAAAGTGCCTTACAGACAGGTGATAAAGCTTAACAGTGATACAAGAAATAGTGAGCACTAATTTAAAATCACATAAGAAAATGACAAAGATTAGTTTACAAAGATAAATACCAAGAGACAGAGTTTTCATTAAATGCTAAGTTAAAGAGATACGTTTTTAAATGTTTCTTTCAAGTGAGCACTGAGCTTGACTGTCTAATAAAAGGTGGAATTGAGTTCCACAGTTTAGAAGCTGAATAACTTAAACAGTCTCTCTACATTTCCTGTATTTGATGGAAGGTGTTTGCAGAAGATCAGTATCTGCAGATCTAAAATCACGTGTTTGAACATTAACAGAGATACTCTGTGATGTAAGTGGTGCTTTAATGTTATTTAGAGCCGAAAAACTAGTAGCAGAAAAATCTATCCTTTAAAATCTGTCATGAACGATACAGGTAGCCAGTGCAGTTCTTTCAAAATGGGAGTGAGCTGATCTCTCTGTTTTGTTTTTGTTAGGATGCTGATGCATTTTGTACGAGTTGTACAGGATGTACTGTTTTCTTAGGAAGTCCAGTAAGAAGACCATTACAGTGATCAACTCTGCTTGTACCAAATGCACAAACAAGTTTCTCTGCATCGCTCTGAGATAGTTAAGGCCAAACTTTAGTGATATTTAAAAAGCTACTATAGTGACTGTGTTTACACGTGGGATAAAACAGAGCTCAGAGTCTAAGATCACACCCAGGTTTCATACCTCAGGTTTGGTATGAAGCTAAAGAACAGAGCTTCTCATAAAGCAGCTTTCTTTGAGTTTTAGAAACAAAGATCAACTTTTGTGATGTAGAAAATTTTGTGACATCCACTGAGAAATATCTGACACACAGCTGGTAAGCTTGTCATTAGAGTGTTGGTTATTAGAAGGAATGAATGTTTAATTCTGTGTCATCAGCATAGTTTTAAAAATTGATATGTTTCCTAATGACATCACTTAGAGGTGACATGTACAAGGATAAAAGCAAAGGCCCTAAAACTGAACCTTGTGGGACTCCACAAGAAATGTTACATTTTTTTTGATGAACAATTTCTCAGTGAAACCATGAACTAAATATAATTTAAACCATTATAAACCTGTGCCTGAGAGACCTACCCAGTATTCAAGATGGTGGATTACAATCTTGTGAGCAACAGTATCAAAAGCTGCACTAAGATCCAAAAAGACTAGAAAGGAAGGATTTTGTGCATCAGCACTGAGCCTGAGGTCATTGACAACACAAACAAATACTCTCTCAGTACTGTAGTTAGAACGAAAACCTGACTGAAACTTCTCATATAACGTGTTTAATATTAGATATGCACTTAATTGTTTGAAAACAATTTTTTCTAAGACTTAAAAAAGGTTTGAAATTGGTCTAAAATTATTTAGTACTGAAAGTTCTGTGCTTCTCTTATTTAGCAGAGGTTTCTCTGTTGTTCTCTGTTGACAAGGAACAAGTTACAATAGTTCAAACGTCACTTTGAACATGATAAACTATCTTCAGGAGAAAAGTAGAAACAGGATCAAGGTCATGTGGATGAATGTAATTTGTTTAACAGTTGTAAACTCCTGAAAATTGATAACAGAAAGATGACTCATGTAGGTGGCTTATCAGGAAGTTTATAGGAGCTTGTTTCAGTCGGCTGAGCTACGCCCTGTTTAAGTCTTATTTTATTTTGAAAATGAATTGCAAACTCTTTTGAAAACTCTTTCATTTTTGAAGATAAATCACTATGAGAAACACTAGCAGAAAAGCTGGGGTTAATTAGTCAGTCTATGGTGGAAAAAAGGACTTTGGTCTTATCTTTGTGTTAATTAGTTACACTAAATGACACTAAAGAGATTGGACTGTCTAGTACCTACAGCTTAGTTTTCCTCCATAAGCTCTGATTTATGATAGTTTCTCTTAAGCTGGCGTATTTCCACATTTATCCATGGATTTTTATGAGTATGCCAGTTTTTCTTCCATTTGACTGGAGCGAGAATGTCAAGAATTTCCCTTAATCTAGCATTTAGATCAAAGAGCAGATCTTTACAGGAGGGAGTCAAAGCTGTATTTGCTGAACTATTATAAATGTTTCTCTCAACCATTTCTGAGTAACTTTCAGGCACTTTCTTCCTTACTTCTAAATTGATTTGAAAGGAAATACAAAAAAGATCTGATAATAAAACATCAATGATGAGGAACATGTTTGTGTTTAAACCTTTAATGATTACCAGATCCAGGATGTGACCTAGCTTGTGGGTAGAGCTGCCCATGTGCTGCTTCAAATCAATATGAAAGTTAAAGTCCCCAGAGTGAAGAATTTTATCACCGCTTGTGGATACAACTGATATTAATTACTCAGTTTCTGCCAAAAAATGCAGCATACTCAAAAGACATACATTCATGTTTGTATAACATGACATGTTTTTGCAGTTAAAGTCACAAATATAAATGCATGCAACTCCTCCTCGCCTGCCCTGGCTTACTGTAGGCATAAATCTGTAGTAAATTTGTAGGAGCAGCTTCAGGTAGAGTTACTGTGCCATTTTCACTGAGCCAGTGAAATAGAAACCTAAAAGAAACACAAAATGAAACTTATGGCTGTTGTTGGAAGAAAACCTTGTATCTCCAAAATGACAACTTTACAGGAGAAGGAAAAAACTACTTTACTTTTAATGTAAGTCAATGGAACCAGAGTTTTTTCCAAGTCATTTGCGTCATTTCTCTTAGTCCATTCATCGTGAAATTTATATAGGATGTAAAGGGCAACAGGTATTTTCAAATTATGTCAAAAACTGAAAAACATCAAAAATGGAGATACAATGTTTTGTTCCGACAACAGCGATCTGCTCTTCATTAAGATCTCGAATCAGAAATGTTATTTAGTGACTGTACATTGAGTAAAGCCAGGTTTAATTTTCTGCTCACTACACTGTTTTTTGGGGGGACTGGTCTTTTTCAGGGGTACATGAATTAAATTTTTGGAATTTTGACCGTGCATGTTTTTCATTAGTTTATGAATTGCACAGCCTTTGATGACTCTGATGATGTTATTGGAACAAACTCTCCCTTCATAGCTAGCAGAAGTTTTAGTATTACAACAGCAGAGAAAGAGGGGAAAGGTAGAAATTGAGGGGGCATCGTCTATATCAGGGGTCGGCAACATGAAGCTCTTCTACTGCCCTGTTGTGGCTTCACAGCAGAGTTAGATTTGTAGGTAAAAATAAAATAATCCTCCTTTACAGTTAAATAAAGCTCTGCTGGTCGTTCTAACACAGTCTCAACAATAAGTAGTCTTAAACGCTGGAGTCAATATATGTGTGTAGCCTATATCTGCTAATTCACCCTTTGACCCTGAAGAATGGCGCACAGACTGCTGGTCACCATAGCTGTAGTCGCTTCTCATTCACCGACTTCTTGCTCAAATTTTCCCATTCCACCTTAAATGGTGCAAGAGGTGCCACAATGAAAGTTAGAACAAGAAGCTGGTGAATGAGAAGCTGACTACAGCCTCGTAAAAGTCTAATGTAGTCGGGTGTCGTCTATCCCTGCAGTAGAAGGCTGGTCACTAGGTCTGCACAATAAATCATACTTTTATCATTATCATATGAGTTTCCGTAGTAAACACATCATTAGAGCGGCGATGACAGAACAGATCTAATTAGCTCGTACATGCAGCGCCAGAAAGACGTATTACATTACCGGCACAAACCGTACGAGCCTTCTTTTTTGCTCTGGAACTGAACCTGCTGTCCCATACAGGAGATGAGTAACTTAACCATTTGACAAAATGGCCATTTATAAAACACACACTCGGACACCTTAAAATGTCACCCAGACGTCAGCTGTAATTCTTTCACAAATGTTTGTAGAAGCAGTCTGCATGCCTAGGTCCCACAGGTTTTATACACCTGTGGCCATGGAATTGATTGGAAAACCTGAATTCAATGGTTTGGATGGGTGAGTGAATACTTTTGGCAATATAGTGTAGAATAGAACTCATCTGTTGCCTACCAGGTTTAGCAGGTGTGCTTAAGTAGAGTAATTATCAAACTGCTGGACACCGGCTCTTCAGGACCAAAACTGAAGACGAAGACCTCTGCCTTGGGTCTTGCTTTTTGAAAAGATATTTCCCACGATTTTACATAAATTATATAGTATAGAATTGTGTAGTTCTTACATTTTTACATATATTTACATAGGCCATATTTTAGGTTGGTTTCCCAACATGTTATATGCTGCAAAAAACAGTAACTGTGTGTTAAAATGTGCAGAGGTGTGTTCACTTAGGAAATCATTAAAACATTATTTAACTTAGGGTGGCCAAACATTTGCATGTAACTACTTTCTGTCTGTCTGCCTGTCTCTCCCCTCCCACTTCATCCCTCATATACCAACATAGAACCGGCATAATAACACCGCAAATTTTGTGAGTTCTGCATTTTTAGTACACAAGAGTTTAACAAGAAACATTAAACCTACACCAGAAAATGTGACATAAAATATTATACCAGGGCAGAAGTTATGTTTTTTTTTTTTGGGTTCAACATGTTAAATTCAACAAATAATTATGCATTGGATTGTGCAGAAGTGTCCAGATGAGTGTGTGTGTGTGTGTGTGTGTGTATGTGTATATATATATATATATATATATATATATATATATATATATATATATATATATATATATATATATATATATATATATATATATATATACACACTTACTGATTTTGATGCACAATTACTGTTTATGAGCTGCCTGAAAATAACATAAATTTTGGCCTTTATATTTTGTTTTTTTCCAACATCTTAAATTCAGCAAAAAAATTAAACTATTGAACTATAATTTGCAAAAAATGGCCAACACGTAAGGATTGTGGCACCTATCTCTAATTTTAACAATAGTAATACAGCACTTTAGTGCATGGTCCACTAAGATTTGAACTGGGCACCTGATAATGTGCAAAACCAGAAAAGGGTAGCAGCACCACAATGTGCAGTAGGTGTCTGATTGAGTAACATGTAATTTGAACATTAAACCTACATCTGAATAGCCCAGGGTCTCCTGAAAATAACAACATATGGCATGTGTGTCTGTCACATGTAAATACTTTATAATTGCAATTGTAATTGACCCAAAAATACCAAATAAATCCCCAACATTTTAGGTTTCTAAGGGTTAATACTTTTGGGCCTGTTTGCAAAATCATGCTTGGCTATTAGCCTGTTTATCATGTGCCACGTTTGCCATGAGTTCAGACTGAAGGGAGGAGCTGGTTATGAGCTGTATGCAGAATTTGTGTCATCAATGACTGGCATGCAGCCAACACTTCAGAATTACTGGGGCTCACACGGAGCACAGTCATCTAAGTCCTGTTGATGGCAGACCATAACTGTCCTCTCTCTCACTGGCTAGGTGGGATAGTCCTCCCTCTTGGTGCAATGCTAGCCATCCCATCCCTCTGTTGGCTGATGTAAGAGAATAGGCAGTTCGGCAGTCTAATCATATTGTGTCAGCGGCAGTTTGAAAAGATGGAGCTTCAAGTGTCTCGGAGGAAGCATGTGTTAGCCTTCACCCTCTCAGCCTGGTAGCATCATAGAATGGTTAAACCCTAGCATAGCATTACTGGAATGGCAGTGATGTTCCTGTCTGTGTCAATGATTAACATCTACTGGCAGTGGCAGTTTTCTATAGCTGCTCCATTCAAATCCATGTAATTTCCTGATTGCTTTAACTACTCAAACATCTTCATGTTTGTGCAAAAAAAGGGTTGAGTGGCCAACCCGAACCCTAACCTATGTAAATATGTAGAAAGATAAGCATTTATATCGCTAGTGCTTATTGAAGTTCTAATTGCTTTATGTTTTATTCAAGCAGATAACTAACCAACCTTGACTGAACTTTGGAGGTGTGGAACAGTAGCTCTAGATTTCTTTAGAAAACTTTGATGGATTTATTTGTTATGACTTCTGAGTACATGTCTGTTTAATGTAAGTTTTCTGACACTGAAAAACTAATACATTGTACTTAATTGCTGTTTTGACTGGAAATGAAATGATTGAGGTCACAGTACTGTGTGCTTACATATTCAGATTCTTATGACTTATTATTCTGTAAGATTGGATAATTCTGACAGGAATGTGTGCTTTCATTTCTTGTCTTTGGTTATTTTAATCATCTATATATATATATTCTCTATAAATATTGATATACACATTGTAATAATAAAAAATATAAACTTACCATTACTAATAATAATGATTACCATTTTTTTTACTATTGTTATTTTTTAGGAATCAACAATGCCCAGCTATTCTAGGACACACCATTTTACTCTGATGTTTACATGCTGGCTGGGGGGATTTAGTACATCTGTGATATTTTTCCAATACTTTGAACCAAGCTGCAATGTTCGACCAGTTCCCCAACCTGTTCAACCAACTTATAAAAACTGCACTTGCACTCTCACTCCCACACCCACTCCCAACAAAGCCCCTCAGCAAGAAAAACCCATCATGCTAGTGTGGGACTGGCCTGAAACCAACGACTTTAGATTCGACCCCGTTGAGTGTAAAAAAAGATTCAACATTGATTCGTGCCACCTGACAGATGACAGAAATCTCTACAAGCGGTCAGATGCCGTTCTCTTCTACCACAAAAATATTAAAAAGGATCTGTCCAATCTTCCCAAAGATCCTCGTCCACGCTTTCAAAAATGGATTTGGTTTAACCTCGAATCACCAACCAACACTAGACCAAAGGCAGGTTTGGAAAACATCTTCAACCTCACCCTCACTTACAGACGGGATTCGGACATCTCTGTGAGGTACGACGTGGACGTCAGCAAAACCCCAGTTGAGGACTTTAAGATTCCAAAGAAAGACAAGCTCGTCTGCTGGTTTGTGTCCAACATGAACCCTTATACTGGAACAGGAACCAGGACGAAGTACTATGAAGAGCTCAGCAAATATATAAAAGTGCATGTTTATGGAAAAATGGCTGGATCGCACTTTGAGGATAAAGATTACTACCCTATCATGGAAAGCTGTAAGTTCTACCTGTCGTTTGAGAATTCCATCCATAAGGACTACATGACTGAAAAGTTAAATGGCCCATTTGCAGCAGGGACTGTGCCTATTGTGTTGGGACCTCCAAGAGAAAACTATGAACAGTTCGCTCCACATGATGCGTTCATTCATGTAGATGACTTTCCTGATGCGTCAGCGATGGCTAAACATATCCTTAAACTGGACAAGGACGATGAGGCTTACAAAAAGTACTTTGAATGGAGAAAATACATGTCTGTGATTCCCCATTACAAAGTTTGGAATGATGAGTTTATCCTGCCGATTTGTCGTGCCTGTGATTATATTGCAAGGCACAAAGAGTATAAAGAGATACATGACCTCTTCAAGTGGTTCTTTTCATAATCAATAAGATTACCTCTTTATTTATACAGCATTTCTCAGGGAGAAGATAGAAATAAATGGTTTTAGTGGGAAATCACATGTGCATGTTAAACTTGCTGTAATATTCTTTTTTATTTTTTATTTATGGATCATCTTAATAGAACCACTCTAAATAAACTAAGTGTCCCACTTCTGTTTTTCTTTCAGACACCATAATAGTTCGGTAACACTTTATTTGAAGGGTGTCGACATAACACATTCATATCACCTTACATAAACACTTCATAACATGTTCATGAATGCTTAAATCAACATTCGTAAACTATACATGTTTTACATGATATTAATACAATGTCATTTTACCTAAAGATGTCTTTATTTTTTAGTATGAATAACTTTATTATTTTCAGTGAAACTCCTAATTTCTGGACTGCCAGCATTAAAATGACCTGGCTTTATCCCTTTGGACAGAAAGTGCTTTGACACTTTTTGCCTAGACTTTCAACTTTTTTTAATTATTGTTTTTTTATGTGTGTGTGTGTATATGTATATATATGTGTGTATGTATGTGTGTGTATATATGTATATATATATATATACTTACTGATTTTGATGCACAATTACTGTTTATGAGCTGCCTGAAAATAACATAAATTTTGGCCTTTATATTTTGTTTTTTTCCAACATCTTAAATTCAGCAAAAAAATTAAACTATTGAACTATAATTTGCAAAAAATGGCCAACACGTAAGGATTGTGGCACCTATCTCTAATTTTAACAATAGTAATACAGCACTTTAGTGCATGGTCCACTAAGATTTGAACTGGGCACCTGATAATGTGCAAAACCAGAAAAGGGTAGCAGCACCACAATGTGCAGTAGGTGTCTGATTGAGTAACATGTAATTTGAACATTAAACCTACATCTGAATAGCCCAGGGTCTCCTGAAAATAACAACATATGGCATGTGTGCCTGTCACATGTAAATACTTTAATTGCAATTGTAATTGACCCAAAAATACCAAATAAATCCCCAACATTTTAGGTTTCTAAGGGTTAATACTTTTGGGCCTGTTTGCAAAATCATGCTTGGCTATTAGCCTGTTTATCATGTGCCACGTTTGCCATGAGTTCAGACTGAAGGGAGGAGCTGGTTATGAGCTGTATGCAGAATTTGTGTCATCAATGACTGGCATGCAGCCAACACTTCAGAATTACTGGGGCTCACACGGAGCACAGTCATCTAAGTCCTGTTGATGGCAGACCATAACTGTCCTCTCTCTCACTGGCTAGGTGGGATAGTCCTCCCTCTTGGTGCAATGCTAGCCATCCCATCCCTCTGTTGGCTGATGTAAGAGAATAGGCAGTTCGGCAGTCTAATCATATTGTGTCAGCGGCAGTTTGAAAAGATGGAGCTTCAAGTGTCTCGGAGGAAGCATGTGTTAGCCTTCACCCTCTCAGCCTGGTAGCATCATAGAATGGTTAAAACCTAGCATAGCATTACTGGAATGGCAGTGATGTTCCTGTCTGTGTCAATGATTAACATCTACTGGCAGTGGCAGTTTTCTATAGCTGCCCCATTCAAATGCATGTAATTTCCTGATTGCTTTAACTACTCAAACATCTTCATGTTTGTGCAAAAAAAGGGTTGAGTGGCGAACCCGAACCCTAACCTATGTAAATATGTAGAAAGATAAGCATTTATATCGCTAGTGCTCATTGAAGTTCTAATTGCTTTATGTTTTATTCAAGCAGATAACTAACCAACCTTGACTGAACTTTGGAGGTGTGGAACAGTAGTTCTAGATTTCTTTAGAAAACTTTGATGCATTTATTTGTTATGACCTCTGAGTACATGTCTGTTTAATGTAAGTTTTCTGACACTGAAAAACGAATACATTGTACTTAATTGCTGTTTTGACTGGAAATGAAATGATTGAGGTCACAGTACTGAATGCTTACATATTCAGATTCTTATGACTTATTATTCTGTAAGATTGGATAATTCTGACAGGAATGTGTGCTTTCATTTCTTGTCTTTGGTTATTTTAATCATCTATATATATATTCTCTATAAATATTGATATACACATTGTAATAATAAAAAATATAAACTTACCATTACTAATAATAATAATGATTACCATTTTTTTTACTATTGTTATTTTTTAGGAATCAACAATGCCCAGCTATTCTAGGACACACCATTTTACTCTGATGTTTACATGCTGGCTGGGGGGATTTAGTACATCTGTGATATTTTTCCAGTACTTTGAACCAAGCTGCAATGTTCGACCAGTTCCCCAACCTGTTCAACCAACTTATAAAAACTGCACTTGCACTCTCACTCCCACACCCACTCCCAACAAAGCCCCTCAGCAAGAAAAACCCATCATGCTAGTGTGGGACTGGCCTGAAACCAACGACTTTAGATTCGACCCCGTTGAGTGTAAAAAAAGATTCAACATTGATTCGTGCCACCTGACAGATGACAGAAATCTCTACAAGCGGTCAGATGCCGTTCTCTTCTACCACAAAAATATTAAAAAGGATCTGTCCAATCTTCCCAAAGATCCTCGTCCACGCTTTCAAAAATGGATTTGGTTTAACCTCGAATCACCAACCAACACTAGACCAAAGGCAGGTTTGGAAAACATCTTCAACCTCACCCTCACTTACAGACGGGATTCAGACATCTCTGTGAGGTACGACGTGGACGTCAGCAAAACCCCAGTTGAGGACTTTAAGATTCCAAAGAAAGACAAGCTCGTCTGCTGGTTTGTGTCCAACATGAACCCTTATACTGGAACAGGAACCAGGACGAAGTACTATGAAGAGCTCAGCAAATATATAAAAGTGAATGTTTATGGAAAAATGGCTGGATCGCACTTTGAGGATAAAGATTACTACCCTATCATGGAAAGCTGTAAGTTCTACCTGTCGTTTGAGAATTCCATCCATAAGGACTACATGACTGAAAAGTTAAATGGCCCATTTGCAGTGGGGACTGTGCCTATTGTGTTGGGACCTCCAAGAGAAAACTATGAACAGTTCGCTCCACATGATGCGTTCATTCATGTAGATGACTTTCCTGATGCGTCAGCGATGGCTAAACATATCCTTAAACTGGACAAGGACGATGAGGCTTACAAAAGGTACTTTGAATGGAGAAAATACATGTCTGTGATTCCCCATTACAAAGTAATGTAGTGATGAGTGATGAGTTTATCCTGCCGACTTGTCGTGCCTGTGATTATATTGCAAGGCACAAAGAGTATAAAGAGATACATGACCTCTTCAAGTGGTTCTTTTCATAATCAATAAGATTACCTCTTTATTTATACAGCATTTCTCAGGGAGAAGATAGAAATAAATGGTTTTAGTGGGAATACACATGTGCATGTTAAACTTGCTGTAATATTCTTTTTTATTTTTTATTTATGGATCATCTTAATGGTTTTGAGAAGTCACAAGTATAACTGTGCATTGGTTATCCTCTGTAATTGACACTTTCAGGTTAAATGTGACAAGCACTGATATCCCAAGGAATGATTGTACTTCTGCATTACTTCAAAGTACAATCAAGTGGTGACTCTTTGACTTTCCTCACTCAGGGTGCTGATAATTTTGTAAGAAATGTCCTTTTATAAATTTGCCTTGCTGTGCCTTCACCACAAAAGTGATGGAAGCCAAGTATCCTGACTAAAGTGCCTGTTAAATGAATGGATAGATATGGAATGGAATGAATAAGCATTATGGACCTGTCCCACCACCACACAAAGTTTGAGACTTTAAGTTGACTGACTGTTCAGAGCATATTTATGAGTAATTCACTGTCCATATAGTAAAGTGACACGCAAGACAACATTCCTAAGTGATTCATAGCATTTTAAGGAGCTGTTAATATACTATATAATAAATATTAACAGCTCCTTAAAATGCTATGAATCGCTTAGGAATGTTGTCTTGCGTGTCACTTTACTATATGGACAGTGAATTACTCATAAATATGCTCTGAACAGTCAATCAACTTAAAGTCTCAAACTTTGTGTGGTGGTGGGACAGGTCCATAATGCTTATTCATTCCATTCCATATCTATCTGTTCATTTCATTTGACATCTCTTCATGGATGGCAGCTCACCACCTGAAGCTCAATCCTAGCAAGACTGAGCTGCTATTCATCCCTGCAACTACAGGTCCTCATCATGATCCTGCCATCTCATTCGAGAACTCTCTGATTTTCCCGTCAGCAGAGGCAAGAAGTCTTGGTGTGGTTCTGGATGGCCAGTTATCGTTCTCGACTCAAATTGCGAACCTAACTCGGTCATGCAGATTTCTCCTGTTCAACATCCGGAGGATCCGACCCTTTCTCTCTCGAAAGGCCACCCAGGTGCTAGTGCAGTCTCTTGTCATCTCAAGGCTTGACTACTGCAACACGCTCTTGGCTGGTCTTCCGATGCAGCCATCAGGCCTCTGCAACTCATCCAGAATGCAGCAGCAAGACTCATCTTCAATCTCCCAAAGTTCAGCCACGTCACCCCACTGCTGCGCTCCCTTCACTGGCTTCCTGTAGCTGCACGCATCAGATTTAAAACCCTTATGCTTGCCTACAAAGCCAAAAATGGACCAGCCCCTCCCTGCTTGATGGCAATGGTCAAATCTCGAACTGGACCACGAGCCCTTCGAGCTTCGAGTACAGCTCGGCTTGACCCGCCATCCTTCAAAGCGCGCGGAAGGCAAACATCTAGACTGTTCTCTGTGCTGGCACCCAGGTGGTGGAACGAACTCCCACTGGCTGTCCGTACAGCAGAGTCTCTCGCTGTCTTCAAACGCAGACTGAAGACACATCTCTTTACACAGCACTTAAATGAGCACTAAATTAAGTATTGATTGTAATGTATTGTACAGCACTTATGTATTGTATTGTATTGCACTGTTCTGTGTTTAACTCTGTCCCTTTTCACTAGGTGTCAATGACCTTCTGATTCTACCAGTATCTAAGTTTAGGACTGTCTTTCTCTCTAACCTATTGGTAGCTAGCAAAGATTCTTTCTCTGGATAGACAAAGCACTTTTTGTAAGTCGCTCTGGAAAAGAGCGTCTGCTAAATGATGTAAATGTAAATGTAAATGTAAATTTAACAGGCACTTTAGTCAGGATACTTGGCTTCCATCACTTTTA